CTACTCAGGAAGACACTTTCTCTAAGCACTGGAAAGTAGAGATCCTACTTACCTCGGCCCTTGCTTATGCTTGCTTTTCATGCATTTTCTATTGCTAAGATAGCAAGTGTCATGATAGATTGAAATTCAATTTTATATCAAAATAATAATAATTAAGAAACAGATGTGAAGGAAGAAAATACCTATAGTTTATATTTACTTTTCAAATGTAAGATTTTTTTTGGTATTAGCATTTAAACACCTCTTTTGAATTTGTTCTCACCTAATACTGGCAATAATTCAAACATCCAACCTACCTCCTCAACCACAGAATAGGCCAGTGCCTGATATTATAGCAACTGCATATGAAATCCTTTCCAGTGTAAAGTCTTATTAACATTTAAAAAGAACTAGATCCATTCATACTTTGACTATAGAGTCAACGCCTGCTGAGCAGAACTCACTGTCTGTCATTCCCAACCTTTTCCCCTCTTTTGCATTTACTGAAGTCCTTAAATATCAGCAGCACACTAAAAGTTCTCACATAAATGCACCAAATGAAATCCCATCTTTAACTCTAGCCCTCCCGACCCATTTCCCCTGTGTTCAAATAGCACTGAGGGACTAATTTTCAGTGAATTGTCAAAAGGAAAGGTGGCAGTCCATTTAGCAGTCAGCTAGTTGCTAATTAGCACCCAACTAAAATGCCTCAAAATTTGAGTATTCCCAGTTGAACACTTTGAAAGATAAGCATTCTACTAATTTAACTCTGCTGTTGGTTGAGCCCTGATTGAGTCTTTTCACAGTAAGATGAGCCATATTCCAGTGCTTTCCAGTATTGATTTTTAGCCCCAAGCTAAAAATGCTCATCTAAACATGTCATTTTTAAATCTTTGATTGCCCGCTCTAAGGGGTACAAATTATGAGACTCTATGTAGTGGGTCGTCACACTTTGACAGAGGAATTAAAACGGACTTCCTCATATCTTTTTGAGATTCTCCAGATTTAAAAAAGAAATGCTGGGGAGGTAGAGGAAGGAATAAACATGAGCAAGATATAGTTGTTTTAAGAAGCAGATTGTCAAAGTGGAGATCTGTCATCAAGAGAAGCTGAATTTAGCTTGGTCTTCCCAGAGACAGTTATTGTCCTTTGCATATATTGGTGTATTTAGGCTGGGGACTGTGGCTGCCCTTGGAACTAGGCACAAGACTGTTTCTGCCGAATCATGTAGAGCTTGACAAGACCTCTAAGTCATTTTATTCTGAGGGGTTAAATTAGCACTATTTTCAGAACTCAAGAAAAAAAAAAGGGGGGGGGATAACGTTTTTAAGCACTTACTATTAAACATTTTTTTCAAATGGCTTATAAATAATAACCTTGAGACAGAGGTGATGGTTTGTATAGAAGCCTGGACATAAATGATACATTCTGTTCCCCAAATTCCATGCCCTTTCTACTACTGAACAGAATATTGAACTCTCCAATTCTTAGTGAGAAGGAACCCAGGAGTACTAATGACATCTTGGAAGAAAATAGCATTGTCCTATTTTTTTCTTAAAGGAAAATAGGTCAAAATGAAGCTTCTATGATCACTGAATTGTAACTGCTTAAAAATTTTTGAGAAAGGTATGGAAAGGCACAAACTGAACTAGGTTTAATGAGACTAAAGTGACCATGTAAATCTCATTTGCCAGAAATAGTGTATCTGATCTGGGAAAGGGGCACTACTCTCTTCTCGCTGTGGTTCTTTCATGCCGCAGCTGCTATGGCAACATGGTGGGTGAGGCTGAGAAGGCAAGGCTTTTTGGAACGTTAACAAAATCAATAGATATTATTGAAGAGTTGGCATGAGTTTCTTAAGCATGGTTGCTAGAATAGGTACCTGGGGAAGGAAGATGTAGACCACGTCAGAGGCAAAGTCTTTGGAGACTGAGAGAAGAAACAAACTTTGCACCTTAGTCAGTTGTCTACTTTGTAATTTAGCCTCTGGGTAGTTTGGAAAGAAAGAAGAAAGAGAAAATAGAATCTCAGAAGAAGTTGAATTTAATTAATATGAGGACATAACTTTCTTTCCTTGACCACACTCTTCCCTCTCAGAAAAGATTTCTCTAGATCTGAGAATCAAGAGACCTGGATCCTACAGCTCTCTGTAGACAATGAATACATTCCTTTACTTCTCTGTAGCTCTTATGTTCATTATTTGATAAATGGCCTCAACTATATTGTCTCTATTCAGTTATACATTGCTCTGAGTCTGTGATTCCTATTCTCTATTAGAAAGTTTTACTCCACAGAGAACAATGCAGACTCCTAGCACAGTATGTGGTATATAGCTAGTATTCAATGAAAAAGAGATAAATGAATGAATGACTTTTTTGAGTCTGATTTAATCACCATTTGTGAGTTTCCCATTTGCAGGTCTACTATAGTACATTGCATTAGATTCAAGGTAATTATTGATTGGATGATTCCTGATTTTAAACTACTTGTGTATAGTTTCCATAAATGTCTCTAGGTATGAATAACATAATAGACTTATCTGTATACACTAACTTGACCATATAGGCCCTGAGTCTATCATGACCCTCAATTCTACCACTAGGTACACATATCTAACAGAATGCATGCCTGTCTACCTCAAAATACAAGTATAAGAATGTTCATAGCAGATTATTCATAGCAGTTCTAACCCAAAGCCCATCAACAGTTGAATAAACAAATTGTGATATAGTCATGTAATATAATATGACAGCAATGAAATGAACAAATTACATTTATAAACAAAAACATGAACATCACAAACATTGTTCTGAATGAAAGAATACAAAGGAGTTCATGCTGCATAATTCTATTTATATATAATTCAGAAACAAGCACAACTAAATCTAGCCTTTATAAATGCATGTTTACAAGGAATATATATGGCAAAGGGATTGCCATAAGGGGGCTAACCTTTAGGGAAGGGGTAGGTGGTTCTAAGGCACAGGTCTGCTGAGGCCATCTGAGCTCCTAGCAACATTTTATTTTATGTTCGTGCAGAGTAACAGAGGAGCTTACTGTTTCTAAATCTTTCTGTGATGTATATGAGATTTCACAGTAATTTTTTTCTTTTTGTTTTTAAGGAGTATATGTAAAATTCCAGGCCCCTAGTAGGCGCTGAATACATGGTGGTTACCTGATAAGCATTCCACCTTTCTTCTTCCCCTGATTCGCTCTGCAAAGCTAATCTTAAAAAGTAATGAATAATCTTGTTGTAAGTGCACAACCCAGACATCCATTCCCAGAGGAAAAGTTGCCCAGGGCATAAGCAGATTGCAAAGGCAAAAGGTGTTCATTCCTGCCTCATCTGATTGCCTCTTACACTCGCACCGGAGTTGTCATACTGGTGACTGTGTTCCAGAGCCAATGAGCACTCCAACGCATCATAATTACTGAAACACATGTGCTAAGTCACTTTTTGCTAAGCCATGATGAGAATTCTCAGTGTTCAATTGCCCTCAAAATTTCTCATCTCTTCCCTGGGGTGAGGTGCTTTGGTTTAGCAGCTGCACATGGGGATTGCATTTAAATCATTTAAGGTTTAGAGTTCAATATCTCCTAAAAGCAGCCTCTCTTCTTCTAGCATTCCTCTTCAGGTACACCTAGAGTTTTTTCTACTTCAAAGTGAGGAATAGTTTTTAAGGAGGAGGAAACTTTCAGAAATACATTAACTCTTTGAATGCACAGGTATATTTCAAAATGCTGTCTGCTTGCGTCTTTCCAGTCACTTGGTAGTAGCTTTTTAAAGTCATTAGCCATCCATTTCACATTTTAGCATCAAAAGCATTAACAGAGTGAATCAGGTGTGTGGGTAGCTAAAGTTCAAAAGAAGTAGTGGAGGAGAGTACACAAAAAAGTCAAGGCCAATTTTACTTTTAGGTAACATGGTCTCTATGATATACAAACAGGGCCAGGCACAGTGGGTCATGCCTGTAATTCCAGCACTTTGGGAGGCCAAGGCAGGTGGATCACCTGAGATTAGGAGTTAAGACCAGCCTGGCCAACATGGTGAAATCCTGTCTCTACTAAAAATACAAAAATTAGCCTGGTGTAGTGGTGGATGCCCGAAATACTAGCTACTGGAAAGGCTGAGGTAGGAGAATCACTTGAACCTGGGAGGCAGAGGTTGCCCCCCATCCGAGATCACACCACCATACTCCAGCCTGGGCAACAGAAGGAGACTCTGTTTCCAAAAAAACCCAAACAGAACCTCTCCCTGAATTCTCCCAACTGAATTGCTTATTTGGTTGGTTAAAGTTTTCATGAAACAATTAGAATTATGTCTTAGGATGTAAATTTTCTCAGAATCCCATCACATTGACAAACTTATGCTATGACACAGATGACAGATGTCAGAGCCTTTTCTGAAAGCAAGTTTTTTCAGAGAAGTAAAAAAGAGCAGCCAATGGTATTTTGGCTGATGCAAAAAGGAAATATTTTGGATGCCCCAAACAAATTTCACCATTTAATGACTGGGCCAAGGCCTAACTCTATTATTGTTAATTTTAGAACTTCTCATTACCCCAGCTGTGTTGGATGTACAAGACGTCAATTTAGTTAGCTCAAAATTAAAGCAGGAATTTGGGACAATGGAAGAAGGCTAGGAACAACAGCGACAATCAGATTGAATCAGGTTCAGCCTCTTATGCTTAAATAGCTTTATTTTCAGAAAATATTTGATAGAGGTGAAAGAACAAGCTCCATCTGTATTTTTCAATGATAGAAGTGAAGGACTTTTCAATGCAATATATTTGGATAAATATCCTGTCAAGCACCTACTGTGGGCCAGATACAAACTGCTATTTTATAGGGACTTCTAGAATGGGTGGATGCATCTGAGGCACTGCATTGCATCATTAATCACTGTGAATTGAGTACATGGGGGCTGTGAGATTGTGCAGTACTAGACACCACAGGCCTGTGGGGAGTTTGGATGGAGATTGTCAGAAAACATAGAGGAGGCTGGACTCTCCCCAAAGTGAATCTGCAGGCCTAGCTCCTAGTTTAGACAGAGAGCTCATTCATCCATGGTGACGCTGTTGGGTGTGATTTGCCAGTCACTGAGATGCCCTTGTTTTTTTTTTTTTTTCTTGCAGAACCATCTGCAGTTGGTGAAAAATAACCCACTACAGCTAGTGAACATTTCCCACCTTTTATCCTCTGGCTTCATAGGGCTGTGACAGACGGTGCCCCAGCAGGTACTATGCAGCTCAACTGCCAAAGGTGAGTGCCAGCCATCGTGATGGTCCTGACTTCAGATCTGGGGTTCGGACTCCATTTGATCTAACTCTCCTTGCTCAACCTGAGGAACTACACACAGTTAGAACTTGGCAATAAAAGTTGTTGACTGAAGGACTGGAGAATCTTTTCTAACATTATGAATCTGAAAAGAGCATGAGGGTTTGTCCTTCTAAGTTAACCTTTGTATTTTAGGTAGAGGGAATCTAACGTGCAGAAATTTGAGATCCGGATCCCTGGTCAGTCAGTGCTATTTCCATTCTGGATGCATCTCTCACTTTTTTATGTCATGTGTTTTGTTGGTTATCTATGTTGTATGAGGAGGCAAAAGGTATCTACCTTCTGGAAACGTTCTGTGTTATGTAAGAAAGTTTAGTTTTATGTAATACATATGTTAGCTACTATCATTGACCTTGGACTCATTGTGCTAAATGTTTCCTAGGCTTCTTTAGATATATATACTAATATATGCTGTTTATTTCTGACCAGACTACCTTGTCCCAGAGTGAGTACCAGAAACCATATGGAGTGGTGAAAAGGATAGGGTTTTAGGGCCTAAAATACCTAAAATGGAATTCCAATTTCCCATCTGCCAGTTATAGGATCTGTAACTGTCTTTCAAAAAGAAAATTGTTTTAACTTTTATGAAGTTTAACATATCACTATTTTAGCAGTCTTTTGCATTTCGTGTAAGATATTTTTGCATAAACAGTTTGAGGTTTCTTTTTTTTTCTTAAGGATATCTAATTGTTCCAGTGTCATTTATTGAATAGACTATCTTTTTATATTCGATCACCTCAGTGCCTTTGTTGAAAATCAATTTACCATGAATGTGTGGGTTTCTTTGTGGATTCTCAACTTAGACGAATGTCACACTGCCATGATTACTATAGCTTTAAGTAATGAAGGTAAATCAAGCTAATACTTCAATCTTACTCTTGAGTTCATGATTGTTTTTGGCTATCCTAGGTTATTTTCTTTTTTCATGTAAATTATAAAATAACTTATCAGTTTAGTCAACAAAGCCTCTTAAAATCATACTAGAATTACATGGAACCTATATCCAATTTGTGGAAAATTACCATGTTACTATTATTAGTCTTCCGAACCATGAGCATGGTATATCTCTCCATTTATTTACATCTTTAATTTTTATTTGCAATGTTTTGTAGTTTTCAGTGCTCAGTTCTTAGAAATCTTGTGTTACATTTACTTTTTCTTTTTCCTGCTGCTATTGCAATACTTTTTTTTTTTTTAAATGAAGTCTTACTCTGTTGCCCAGGTTGGAGTGCAGTGGTACAATCTCGGCTCACTGCAACCTCTGTCTCTTGGGTTCAAGCAATTCTTCCATCTCAGCCTCCCGAGTAGCTGGGACTACAGGCATACGTACCACACCATGGTAATTTTTGTATTTTTTAGTCAAAATAGGGTTTTACCGTGTTGGCGAGGCTGGTCTCAAGCTCCTGACCTCAAGTGATCCACCTGCCTTGGCCTCCCAAAGTTCTGAGATTACATGCATGAGCCACTGTGCCTGGCCTAATAGTTACATTTTTAAAGATTATTTTTAAATTTCTAATTTCTAATACATAAAACTTAAGTTGATTTTGCTGTTTGATCTTGTACGCTATTATTTAAATCACTTATTTGTTCTCATAGATATTTCTGTAGCTTTTTAAAGGGTTTTCTATAAACACAATTATGTCCTCTATAAACAGTGTGATTCTATTTTTCCAATCTTTATTGTTTGTATTACTTTTTTCTGGCCTTACTGAGTTGGCTAGTGCTTTCAGTACAATCAATGTTAAGGTGAAATGGGGAGAACAGGCATTCATGATGTTTTCCTGATCTTGGCTAAAAATTATTGAACATGCCACAGCTGAGAATGATATTAACTACAGATTTTCATAGCTATCTTTTTAAATAAGTTGGGAAAATTGCCTCCTAATTTTCAGACACTTATTATTACTCATGTGAAATACTATTTCTGTATTTATTGAAAGGATCATGAAAACTTTCAATCACAAATTCATGGGCATTCTCAAAATAACAGGCCAATGCACACTTCTCAAAAGTGTAATGGCAATGAAAGACAGAGGAACTATACTGGACTGGAAGGAACTAAGGAGGCATGGCAGCCAAATGCATGTGGGACCCTGGGTGGGGTCTCCAACCACGGAAGGGACATTAGGGGTAAATGGGCAGAGCTCCACTGGGGTCTGCAGAGTAGTGAGTTAATGTGTGTTGGTGTCAGTGTACTGTGGTTATGCGCAATGTTAAAATTAGAAGTTGGGTGATGTTGTATCAGAACTCTCTGTACTAGTTTTGCATCTGAGATTATTTAAAAATAAATTAAAAAGAAGAAAAAGATGACCAGGGTTGAACATCTCACAACCTCTTGTTGAATACCTCTACTGATGAGGAACTCACCACTGATCACACTAAGCATCAACTTGTACCTCCTGAGCTCCTCAAACCTCACCAAACCGAGACACTCTAAGATGGAGCTTGAGTTAATTGTTCAGCAGCATCTTCTTCATAGCCTGTCCACAGGAGCACCTGTGGCACTCACAGCTCTGATAGAGGCTTGTTGATTGGGTGAACTCCCTGCCTCAGCCTGGCCCTAGTCCCTAGCCTTTTCTTCTTTGGAGCCCCTTGAGAGAAAAGTATGGTGATAAACATGATAATGACTTCCAAAAATGTGCATGCCTGATCCCTAGAGCCTGTGATAGGCACCTCCCACAGCAACAGGGATGTGCAATATGAATGATTAAGGATCCCGAGATGCAGAGATGAGCATTTAATTGCAAGTGTTCTTGTAAGAAGGAGGCAGGGTTCAGAGTCAGAGAGAATTTGGAGGTGATGTGCTGCAAGCTTTGAAGACGAGGGAAGCGGGCAGGAGCCAAGGAGTGTTCATGGCCCCTAGGAGCTAAAAAAGGCAAGGAAATGTATTTGCCTTGGAGACTCCAGAAGCAATTAGCCTTGGTGACATCTTCATTTGAGCCTAGTGAGACTCTGACCTCCAGAACCATATGCAGACTCTGGCAGAAAATAGTGAAGAACACTTCCAAAATTCCTTTATCTGGCCAGTATTACCCAGATCCCTAAATCAGAAAACATTATAAGAATTATAAAGCTATAAATCAGTACCCATTATGAACATGACTGCAAAAATTCTAAACAAAAATTAACAAATCAAATCCAACAGTATAAAAATAGATAAAATGCACTGTGACCAAGTGAGGCTTACCACAGGAATGGCGAAGTTGGTGTGACATCTAAAATTCAATGTAATTCAACATGTAAAGAACCTAAAGGAGAAAAACTATATAATCCTTTTTTTTAAGTGGCTTAAATCAACACAAATTTATTATTTTATGGTTCTGGTTTTATTTTTATTTTTTTAAATATGTGATAGAATTCAACAGCAGAGCTACTTGGTCCTAGAGTTTTCTTGGTGGGAAGGTTTTAAAATTATAAATTCATTCTTTAATTGATATAAAGTATTCAAGGATTTTTGTGTTTCCTTTGGTTGAATTAGGTACTTTATGATCTTAAGGAATTTATTTCATCTAAGATGTTAATGTATTACAATAAAGTTGTTTATAGTATTCCATTATTGTACTTACATGTATGTAGGATCTGTACTGATGTACCCTCTTTCAATGTTGATATTTTGACATGTGTTTCTCTTTTCTTTGGGTTTTTTTTTTTTTTTTTTTTTTTTTTTTTGAGGCAGAGTCTTCCTCTCTGGCGTGCAGTGGAGCAAGCTTGGCTCACTGTAACCTCCAACTCCTACCTCCACCTGCCTCAGCCTCCTGAGTAGCTGAGATTACAGATGTGTGCCACCACACCCAGTTGATTTTTGTATTTTTAGTAGAGACAGGATTCATCATGTTGGCCAGACTGGTCTCGAATTCCTAATCCCTCAAGTGATCTGCCCACCTTGACCTTCCAATGTGCTATGATTACAGGCATGAGCCACTGTGCCACTTTTCTTTAATAGCATAGATAAGTGATTTTTAATTTTACTTATATTCAAAATAACTAGCTTTGGTTTTAATTATAGTATATTGTTTTTTCACTTTCCATTTCATTGATTTCTTCCTTTATTGTTTTCTTCTTTTCATTTAATTTAGGTTCATTTTTCTCTATATGAGATAATTCAAATAATTATCTCATAATAATCTTTATTTCTAGCATAGACATTTACATGTATAAATACCTCTCTAAATACTGCTTTACCTACATTTTGTAAATTTTGATATATTTTTATTGTCATGTAGTTTAAATGAAGTTATAATTTCTCTTGGGTTGTCTTCTTTAACCCACCTATCATTTGAAAGTACCGTATGTTCTCTAATTGTCAAATACTTGTCTTTCTCCTAGTTATATTATTGCTATTGATTTCCAGTTTAGTCTCATTAAGGTTAAGAAACAAATTTTGTGTGATTTGAATATTGTTAAATGTATTGAGACTTTCTTTTTCTATGAGTTCAATTTTTTTTTTAATTGTACTTTGGGCTCTAGGTACATGTACACTTCCTGCATCCTGCAGGATTGTTGCTTAGGTACATCCATGCCATGGTGGTTTGCTGTCTTCATCCCCCACCCAGAGAAGACTTCTTTTATGGCACATTATATGATATATCCTGGGAAAAGCACCTTAGGCACTTGAAAAAAAATGAGTATTTTGCTGTTGGGTATAGTTCCTTTCCTCCCTCCCTCCCTCCCTCCTTCCTTCTTTCCTTCCCTCCCTCCCTCTCTTCTTTTATATCTATCTACCTATCTCTATCAATATCTCTATCTCCATCTCTCTCTCTCATCATCTGTCACCATTTATCATCATTTGTCTATCTATTGAGTTAATGTGGTAGATAATGTTCAGATCATTTATATTATTGCTATATTTTTGTCTAGTTGTTTTATGAAGTGAGAGGAGGGTCTTTAAATAGCTAATGATGACTGTGAGGTTATCTGTTTCTCCC